CCCACAACACCGTCGACTGCCACTACTTCAAAAAGGCACTCAAGATAATCTCCGATCGAGGAGGGGTAAGGGAGATGATCCAGAAAGCAGATCAGGGAAACCAATCCCCGCGGGAACGCAGTCGCTCCCCAGTCGCCAGGCCACCAGTACAGGAGCGCCTAGGCCCCAACCCGAACGTCAAGGAGATAAGAACCATCGCGGGAGGGGAGCCTAGCCGAAAGAAGAAGCGCAAGGGGCAAGCAAGCGACACATGGTGTATGAAGATCGCAAAACAAGATGGTCCCGACCTGTCGTTTACATCGCAAGACTATCCTCCAGAGGGCCCGTCTGAAAGCCCTCTCGTCATCAACATACAAGTAGAAGGTTTCAAGGTGTTCAGAGTGCTAGTAGATAGTGGGAGTTCCGCTGACATACTCTTCTATTCTTGTTGGCGCCAAATGCAGACACCCCCTGAGGTGATGCAAGCTTCAGAGGCCCAACTTGTCGGCTTCTCCGGAGCGAAAGTAAAGGTCCTAGGAACGGCGCGCCTAAAAGTCAAGGTAGGAGATGAGGAGCCGAGTGCTACACATCCAGTGGACTTCCACATTGCCGATTGCCCATCCGCATATAATGCCATTCTAGGAAGGCCCTTCCTAGCTAAGTTTGGGGCTGTGGCCTCAACCTGTCATCAAGCAATGAAATTCCAAACACCCCAAGGAATGGGGATAGCCAGAGGAGATGTGAAGGCAGCAAAGGCGTGCTATGCAGCAACCCTACACAAGCCAAAAATACACACGATTGATGCCAGGCCAACAGAAGTGCCGCGCCCAGGAGCAGTAGATTCAGAAATTGAGCTGCCATTAGACCCCGACGACCCAAGCCGAGTCGTCCGACTCTCAGCCCATTTACCGGAGCACATGCGCCTCCCAATGATCAACTTGTTACGGGAATACTCAGACTCGTTTGCTTGGAGTCCTGAAGACATGCCAGGCGTTTCCAGAGACTTTATGGAACATAAGCTCTCCGTGAAACCAGAAAGTGTGCCAATACAGCAAAAAAGAAGGGGAGCATCGTTGGCAAGGAGGGTGGCCATGATGGAAGAGGTACAAAAGTTACTGAAGGCAGGATTCATCCGAGAGGTTCAGTACCCGAAGTGGTTGGCAAACACAGTGTTAGTCAAGAAACACAACGGGACATGGAGAATGAGTATTGACTTCACCTCGCTAAACAAAGCGTGCCCGAAGGACCCGTACCCCTTACCAAGAATTGACCAGCTGGTCGATGCCACCTCCAATCACGAAATGTTAAGCTTTCTCGACATGTTTTCAGGGTACCACCAAATTCCTCTCAGCGAAGAAGATCAAGAGAAAACGGCTTTCATGACCCCGTACGGGAACTACTGCTATGTAGTGATGCCATTTGGTCTGAAAAACGCGGGTGCCACCTATCAGAGGATGGTAGACAAAGTCTTTGGAGAGCAGATAGGACGAAATGTGGAGGCGTACGTAGACGATGTGTTAATCAAGAGTAAGAAAGAGGGTGACCATCTGAGCGACCTTAGGGAGACGTTCGAGAACCTGAGGCGCCACAATCTGAAGCTTAACCCCCTCAAGTGTGTATTCGGAGCAGGTGCGGGTCAATTCTTAGGCTTCATGATCACTCGCCGTGGTATTGAGGCTAATCCGAAGCAGATAAAAGCGATTGCCGAACTCAAGTCACCAAGAACAGTAAAAGAGGTTCAAGCATTGGCAGGTAAACTCGTCGCTCTTAACAGGTTCATTCCAAGGTCAGCGGATAGGTGCGCCCCACTCTTCAATTCTCTAAAGAAGAAATCCAAGTTCAAGTGGACGGAGGAATGTGAGAAGGCGTTCGAAGAAATGAAGACTCTGCTAGTGAATCCCCCCATCCTCGTAGCTCCAAAGGAGGGAGAACGTTTGTTCCTTTACATAGCCATATCAGACGTGGCTATCAGTGCGGTGCTTGTTAGGCGTCACCTTGAAAATCTTGCAGATCAGCCGGTGTACTACATCAGTAAGACGCTTCTCCCAACTGAAAAAAGGTACCCAGCCATCGAGAAGGCAGCCCTAGCATTGGTAACTGCCGCCCAAAAACTGAGGCCCTATTTTCAGGGACACACGGTCACTGTACTAACTAACCTGCCAATGAAAAGAATTCTTCATAGCACAAGTGCTTCGGGACGTCTAACCAAATGGGCAGTCGAGCTAAGTGAGTTCGATATCCAGTATGCTCCTCGACCTTCAATTAAAGCCCAGGTCCTAGCAGATTTTGTTGCAGAAGGAACGATCGAGCCTACGGGAATCGACGAAGGAAGGTGGAAGCTGTTTGTCGATGGCGCGGCAAGCAAGACAGGGGCAGGCGCTGGCATAGTCTTGGAAACGCCAGGGGGAGTCACACATGAAGTGGCCTTACGATTCTCGACACTTAAAACCAACAATGCGGCAGAATACGAGGCACTTATCAACGGCATGCGCATCGCGGAGGAGCTAGGGGCAAGGCGCCTAGACGTCTTCTCCGATTCCGCATTGGTGGTTCGGCAGGTGCTGGGGGAGTTTGAAGTCAAGGAAGATTGTTTGCTGCGTTACGTGGAAGAAGCAAAGAAGAGGGCGCAGGGTTTCGAGGATTGGAAGCTCTCTCATATAGCGCGAGGTGACAACGCGCACGCGGATGCGCTTTCCAAATTAGCCACAGCTGTCGACTTTGAAGAGGAACGACATGTAATTGTCGAAAAGGAAAGCCCGAACACTCCGGGAATGGGGGTAAACAGTGTTAACATCAATCAAGAGGAGCAAGATTGGAGGGTGCCGATCGTTGAATACCTCATGAATGGTACCATTCCGACAAATTCAAAAGAGGCCACAGGAGTAAGAAGGCGGGCGGCACGTTGCACCATTATTGGCTCGGAGTTACACCGCCGGTCTTTCGAGGGAGTATATCTCAGGTGCCTGGGAAAAGCTGAAGCAAAGTGGGCGCTCCGCGAAATTCATGAGGGTGTGTGTGGGAGACATGGGGGGCCGAGAAGTTTGGAAAGAACACTCAAGTTGCAAGGGTACTACTGGCCAACCATGAGAAACGATGCAAAGCAATTCGCTGCGGCATGTCACGCATGCCAAACCCATGCCCAGGAGCACCACCTTCCAGCCACCGCAATGCAAGGGAACGTCAGTCCTTGGCCCTTTGCCCAGTGGGGAATGGATCTGGTGGGTCCTTTCCCCAAAGCGTCGGGAAAACGGAAATATCTTATAGTAGCAGTGGACTACTTCACAAAGTGGATTGAGGCTGAGCCGCTGGCCACTATTACAGCAAAGCAAGTCGAAAAATTTGTCTTCAACAACATACTTGCACGGTTTGGCATCCCAAACTCTATTGTCACTGATCATGGCAAACAGTTCGACTGTACCTCCTTCGCAGATTTCTGTCAAAGTTACAATATCCAGCTCAAGCTCTCATCAGTAGCATACCCAGAAGCAAATGGACAGGCAGAGGCGGCAAACAAAACCATACTTCAAGGACTGAAAAAGCGTCTTCATGAGCAGAAAGGAAATTGGGTAGACGAGCTTCCTCACGTGCTGTGGGCACTACGCACCACCCCCAAAAGCTCCACAGGCGAGACCCCATTCGCCCTAACCTTTGGTGCGGAAGCAGTAACCCCCACGGAAGTTGCGTTGCCCACCTTGCGTGTCCAATGTTTCGGCGAGGAAAACAACACAAGCATGGCTCATGAACTAGACATGCTAGACGAGAAAAGAGTTCAGGCGCTTAAGAAGTTGGTGGAGGATAAGGAGCAGTTGGCGAAATACTATAATTCAAAGCTGAGGCCACACCACATCGAAGAGGGAGATCTTGTCCTGAGGAAAGTATTCCGTCCTAACCCGAATCATGGGAAGTTGGCTGCTAAATGGGAAGGACCCTTTGTCGTAAGGGAGGTAATAGGACCAAGCACTTTCAAGCTCGCTACCATGGAGGCAGAGCGTGTGAGCAAGACTTGGAATGCAAAGCATCTGAGGAAGTACATGTGCGACCAGGAGGCACAAGAGTAGTCGGAAGATGGACATTTTGTAGGGAAGAGGGGCGTCCTTGGAGAGGCGTAACCCAAAGACACCCTAAGGAAAATCGGAGTGTGTTAAGTTTGCTTTACTTTTCTTTACTTCAAATTAATCCAAAAGATAGGCATTTTTGTAGGGGGGAGGGGCGCCTTCAAAGAGGCGTAACCCAAAGACACCCTAAGAAAGGTAGCAGCATAGTAGGAGTCATTTTTCAGATTGGTAATGATAGAAGTTTATGGGAAAGGGGACGCACCCTGGCGATACCCCATGTAACCCTTTATTTTGCTCAAGGAATGGAGATTTATTACTCGGCAAGGCAAGGCTATCCCTGTTTTAACAGATGGAGTCTCTCCTGACTCGCTTCCTCCGTCGAGGAGAAGCCTAAGCGTGTTTCCTCTTTTTCAGGAGCACACGTAAGAAAAGCTAAGTTTTTGTATAGGATAATCATCCTAGCGGAACATTTTTCCCGCGAACCGACGGAAGAGCCCTAGCGCTTACACTTGGTTTTCATCCAAGTATCGGGCGCTCGTTGTGCGAGTCCCCATGAGAGGCGACAAAATTGATATCCCTCGCAAAAATTCCTGCCTCGGCAGAAGGGGTCACCCAAACCCGCTTCCTCCGTCGAGGAGAAGCCTAGACGCGTTATTTATTTTTCAAGAATACGCATGGGAGTCCTAAAACTTGCTTCCTTCGTCGAGAAGAAGCCTAGACACGTTACTTCTTCATCAAGAATACGTGTGAAGAAATCTAAAGATTGCTTCCTTCGTCAAGAAGAAGCCTAGGCACGTTACTTCTTCTTCAAGAATACGTGTGAGGAGACCTAAAACTTGCTTCCTCCGTCGAGGAGAAGCCTAGACGCGTCACTTCTTTTTCAAGAATACGCAGGGGCGACCCAAAACTTTCTTCCTTCGTCAAGAAGGAGCCTGGACGCGTTACTCCTTCTTATCAAATATATGACGGGACTAAAACAACATTCACAATAGGTCCAAGAAAACGGAGAACTTGCCGATAACACTGTTCAAAATAACAGCCCAAAGGCTAAACATCCACAGACATGCAAGGGAGAAATGAGCAGAAGATAACATAAAATTGACTAAGTCCAAACGAACAAAGAAAAGAAAAAACGTCCCAATTCTACTAGTCCGACTTGCTCGAGTGATTGTCGGACGAGCTAGAATCACCATCGGTACCACCATCCGAGGCGCCACCCTGACCATCGACAGCAACCACACCCCCACCACCTTCCCCGGCACCAGCATTGGCATCAACGTTGTCACCCACTCCCTCTTCCCCAACCTTCTCGACGTCAACCTCCACATCATCGGCAGAAGAGTCACCCTCATCCAAGGGGTACGGGTCCGAGTCAGAAGGCTCGTTATCCGTACCAAGGGAGAGGAAGTAATCATCCATAGCCTGCCAGACCTCCGGAGTATCCCACTTCATGTCAGGATTATCGGAGCGGACTTTCTTACGAATGCCGATGAAAGCCCTCTTCTTCACTCCGAGCAGAAGGTTCTGCTGCCACTCACGAAATTCCGCTGATGACAAGTGGGCGTCTACGGCATCTTCACGCTCCTTGATCAGTCTCTTCTTAAATTCCTCCTAAAAAAAAAAAAGGGGTTTACGCGCTTAGCTCGAATGAAGGGAGAGTAAGAAGGACACGACAAGAGAACTCACCTTCTGGTGACCCCTAGCGGCAGACATCGCCAACAGCTCCTTCTCCAAGGTATCAATCCGCTTCGCCTGGAATGCTATCTCCTTCTCCTTCTCTTCACGAGCAGAAACACTCTCAGCAGCCAAGGCGTCCGAAAGCTGCCGCTTCACCGATGCCAACTCATCCTCCAGACGAGAGTTAACACCTTGGAGGGTGATCTTGTCAGTTTTCAACTGAGAAGCCTACAGAAAGTTCTGATGGGCGCGATCCCGATTCTCCGCACTCTTGTCGGAAAGAGTAACCACATCAAGCATCGCCTAAACAAGAAACAACAACAATTAGTAATGAAGCATGATCTACTAATAGTAAAAGTGTGTGGGAGCATACCTGGAACAAGTGCTGACACGCCGAGCCTGCAGGAGAGGTACCCTCGTCAAGGGGAACCTTAAGGAACTTCTTCAACTCCAAGGCCGAAGTAAAAGCGCTTGGAGCATTGAGGGCAGCAGACGGAGAGATTGGAACAGGCTCCTTCGGCTTTACGGCACGTCGCGAGCGAGGAGGTGCCAAAATCTCATCAATACTCCCAAGACTTGGCTTGTTCTTCTTCTTCGGAACCACAACGGGAGAGTCGGCCGAGGCATGGCGCTTGCCTAATTCTTCTCTGGGAGAGGGTCGCGCGCCCCCAAGGAAGGAAACAATCGAGGAGACGCCTCCTCGACGTCGTCAAACGCCTTGCCAGATGAACGGGGAGTTCGCTCGGCAGGGATGCTGGGCGCCTTCTGTGCCCTAGCTCCGGAGGCCCCAGGATTCTTCTTAGTCATCTTCGCTAGGCTCGAGTAGTCAAAATCTGCAAAAAAAAGAGTTATGCAAATACCATAAGTTGGGAGATAGAATAAAATCATTCGAAAGGAATACACCATGGTCGTAAAGTTCTCCCAAGGCGCGCGCTCTCTCCCCTTTTCTCCCAAAGTCCACGGGGGGCGCACGAAGAATGTGGTGCTTCTGTTCCCGCTCAGGCTTCGCAAGGGTAAAATCCTTGGCCCAAGTTTCTTCCGAACCCTCACCCCACAGAGTCGAGAGAGGCGCCGAAGTTGGCGCATGCCAAGTGTCGGGGGTCGGCCTAATAAAGAAGTATGAGCAATACCATTTGCTAGGGAGCTTAGGTGATCCCTTGCAAACCCGCCCCTGGTACTTACTATCGCGCTTCACAGCCGACCAACCATGCTTACCCCGCTCCAGTGCATATATGCTACGAAAGATAGAGAATGAAGGGATGTAGCCTAAGCGCTTACAGATGAGCCGGAAGGCGCAAGTGTGAAAGATAAGCGAAGGGGACAGGAAGCTGGGAGGGCATCCAACCATCTCCAAAATGCCCGACAAGATAGGATCCAATGGGAACTTCAAACCGCACTTCAGATACTCCGAGTAAACCGCAAACCAACCCTCGGGGCAACTCCCGATGCGAGCATTGCGATCCGGAATCGCATATCCCCAGTCCGTAGGGTAACCTAGGCCGCGGATATAGGATATAACGCGATGAAGTTGAATGCTGGGTCGCTTGTCAGGACCCAGTAGGCGCGCCGAAGAGGGAGGCGCCTCACCACCCCACATCCCCCGCCATGGCAAAATCGTATAGCCTGAATCGGTAACCGTCCGAGAAGAAGACGGGCGAGGGTCGGGGTCCGCACTTGACGTATCATCTTCAGTAAGCACCTCCTGACGGGTATATGATTGATCATCCTCGATGTCACTAGCAATCTCGGCGAGTCTCCATTTGGATCGTCTATACACTGTTCGATCCACTAAGATTCCCAAAACAGCAAATATACGATATTAAAGTTAACGAGATAGAGAGAGCGTAGCTTACCCATCTTCCTAACTTTACTTGAGGACGCCTTCTCTTTTCCTTTCTTAGAGGCAGAGGCGCCTCTCGCAGACGCAGAAGGTTGAGAATTGTTGGAGGCCATGAGTGAGTGGTAAGCAGCGAAGTCAACCTTGGAAGAGAAGCGTGTACAACGCCTAAGCCGATAACGCGCGGGTAGAAAACCGTTGCCTCCCGTGACTGTGCTGTGATAGGCGCCTCTGACGCCTTGAAATTGGAACCTGCGAGCAAACAAAGTGTCAGGGCGCGAGTAAGCAGAGCGGTGCTTTTGAAAGAAGCATACTGACGGCATTGCATTAAAATCACCAAAGAAAATTCATCAAAGGAATACGCTTCGCCCTAAGCAAAAATCAACAACCAACAATAAAAAGGGGGGAGGCGCCTTGCAAGAATCACCAGGATCAAGGGCGCCTCACAAAATCATCATCAAAACTTGGCAACGAAACAAGGGAATGCGCTTCGCCCTAGCAAAATTCAGCAACCAACAATGAAAAGGGGGGAGGCGCCTTGCAAGAATCATCAGCATCGAAGGCGCCTCACAAAATAATCATCAAAACTTGGCAACAAAACAAGGGAATGCGCTTCGCCCTAGTAATATTCGACAACCAACAAATAAAAAGGGGGGAGGCGCCTCGCAAGAATCATCATCCTAAGCGCCTACCCTTTAACCTAAAAAATCACACCTAGTTTGCGAAAAGTAGCGCCACTTGCGCAAAGAAAGGGAATTACAACAGGCTTGAGAGGCGTTACCTATCGAGGAGACGCCGTCGTCGCAGGAAGATAGGAAGCGCCGGTGAGAAGGGGGGAGGGGCGCCTTTGCTAAAACGTCGACCGAGGCGCCGAGGAGAAGGGGAGCAGGGAAGGGGCGCGGGGCGCCTTCGTAAAAACGTCGGCCGGGCGCCTTTGCTAATGCGTCGGCCGAGGCGCCGAGGAGAAGGCGAAGTAAGGCGCCGAGGAGAAGGGGAGCAAGGAAGGGGCGCGGGGCGCCTTTGTAAAAGCGCGGCCGAGGCGCCGAGGAGAAGGGGGACAGGAGGAGAGACGCAGGAAAGAGGGGCGGCCGAAAAAGAGGGTGGAAGAAAAGTGAAGAGGGAGGGGGATGAAGGGTTTAAATAGGAAGGAGGTAGGGGAGCGCGCGGTTCTCGAAGCGGGCTTCCCTAAAGCCCAGCCTCCCACTACCTCAATTAAACCCCCCCTCCTCCAAATTTGAGTGGGCTTGGTCCAAAACTGCTGCTAGCAGCCTACAGGGGGTAGCGTCTTCGCTATCACCCCATGCCTTGCCCGTAGATTGATCTTTACCAATATTCTAATTATTTTGTTTATTTACTCTTTTATAATTTTTTTTCTCTTGTCCCTCTTTACTCTTATTTGAGCTATCTATGTATTTTATTTTCGTTTTTACTCTTACTTTTATTTTTATTTTTATTTTTATTTTTATTTTTGCTTTTTCATTCCAGTTTTATCTTTTAGACTCTTTTTTAGAGTATACTTGTTTGCCGATGCCACACTATTTGTGCCATCGCCAAAAGGGGCAATTGATAGGGTATCATAGTGACTAAGGAATTGATACCATGGCTAATGACATGGAGAAGGGAAGAAGACAAGAGGAAAAAGACAAGGCTGGAGAACAGGAGACAAGCCCAGGCACCTGACGTCAGCAAGGACAAGGGGCAGGGGGACACCCTCTGCCAAAAGGACTATGAACAGTGTCAGAGAGTCTGAGGCGCCCGACCAGAGCATTTATGGCTTGGCAGGCGCCCAGACCACTACCTAACCCTCAATTGTGTATAAATAGGAGTTCTCTCCTCATAAATAAGGATCTATCTACTCTTTACTCTAACTTCTCTCTACTTTCCCTCTCTACATACTTGTTTTCTTCTGCTTCGGACGAGGAGGGGCGCCTACCCTTCCAAGGTCATGGCTGACACCCCAAACCCCTTGGACCCGAGCGACCCCCAGTCGATCGGGCTCAAACACTTTCCTTTCATATTCACCACTAACTTTACAAATCGTTTCAGCGTAGTCACCGACCGTTAGTCTCCGTTAACTCAGTCAGTTTTTTGATGACGTGGCAAACAGAATTGTTGACTGGACCGTTAACTTTATGACATGTCAATTAAAAAATTAGACAAAGCAAGGAGAAGTGGGTCCATCATAATAAAACACCCAATGAAAGAATGGCATGTCTGTTCTTCTTCGCCACCGCCTCGCTCTGCCAACCCTTCGAAGACCTTCGTAAAGCTTCCAGACCGGACTGCCTCCTCGCCGACATATTCCTCCTCTGGTCCACTGATTCTGCGGGCAAATTCAGAATCCCCATACTAGTCTTCCACGGCACTGGCTTCTTCTCACTCTCCGCCACCGCGAGACGATCCGGATGCACGAGCCTTACAAAAGGTTCTCCCCGGATTCAGAACCGTTCCTGATCCCAAACCTCCTCGAAGAAATTTCGATGCCCTGGAAGCAGCTGCCGCCTGCCGGAGTATGCGAGGTAGGATGGGGAATCGGGGTTCGGGAAGTTGATGAAATCGGTCAGGGAGTCGGAACTAAAATGATACGACGTGATCGCCAACAGTACCGATCTTTTCTCTCACGACAAAATTTTGAGACCAGACCCCCTTCGTTGCTTCATTCATCTCCAGAAACAAAGAATCCAAATTTCCCACTTAATTAATTACCGCCTCAGCTTTGTCGCAGTTAAAAGTGGAGAGTAACCCGGTCACTTTCTGGACATCAGATCAACAAATCCCTCTTTCCGCCACCAAAACTCACGTCTCCAGAATCTTCTATACTTTACCTCTTTATATATTTGTTTGTTTAGTTTTTAGTTCCAACTTTAGTTTTTGAGCGGGATTATGCCGTACTGCAGAGCCTCTCTCGGGAGACGAGCTTGGCACATTGATCCCCTGTCTCTTTGAAATAACAACAGGGTAAAGGCATCATAAAGGGGGAAAGAAGCTTTAAAGTGCCTGAAATGGCTCGCTTGTAAAGGAATCGGGTCGGTCATTTACATTTGATTTGGGAGCATGTCGACGTTCAGGGCAGAGCAACTAAGGGAGATTGAGATCTAATTGAAAGCTTCGGGAGGGACGAGAGCGACGAGGAAGAATGGCTGCGGCAAGAATTTGAGACGAGATTGTGAGGGAAAGGGATGGTGACGTGGCCTATGTTCACCGAGAAGCTTCTGACGGAGGTGACGGTGGGGGCGAAGGAGTGGGTGAGGCTGCTAGGGCGGTGAGGAAGGGGAAATGAGGAAGAATTTTTTTTTAATGTTTACTTTTTATTTCATTGGCTGTTTTAATATGGCGGGCCCACTCATCTCCTCTCTTTTTGTCTATTTTTTTAATTTTTAATTGACATGTCATTAAGTTAACAGTCTAGTCAGCAATTCCATTTGCCACGTCATCAAAAAACTGAAGGAGTTAACGGAGACTAACGGTCGGTGACTATGGTGAAACGATTCATAAAGTTAGTGGTGAATATGAAAGGAAAGTAATTCGAGTGGCAAACGTGAAAGATTTATGTAATTCGAGTGACCAAATGTGTAATTTAGCCCTGTTTTGCCTCATTTTAACCCGTCTTATCTCAAATTTTCGAAGACAGAGTACAACTAAAGCTCAACATAGCTGCAATTTGAAGGGCAAAGGTGGAAAGCATGCAGCCTGAAGTAGTACTGCTGTAATACTGTTAATGGCCATCTGTTGCGAGCAACTAGACTTGTCGGGTTAGATTAAGGATGCAGCAATGAAGAAAAAGAAAAGCCCGCTCACAACTGGTTACCTGTGAACTGTGATTCTTTCCGAAACAAACTCCTTTCCACTTGCATGGTTTATGAGTTCGTTTCTCTCCTCATGACAAGAGCTTGTTCCCTTTCCCTTATCATGGTCTCCTATCTGCGGTTTAGCGGCGGTTTGGGTTTAACTAAATCTTGGGCATGGGACATTTGGATATTCGTGTGTGTCTGTCGCGTCCAAAGTGGTGAATAGAAATTGGAAAGCCTATAATCCACCCCCCTGCACATATAAAGCGTGATAAACATGAGTAATATTAATAGTTGGGGTTTAGCACTGTTGGGCCGCGTAGTTGAGCGGTTATGGGCCTCGGGCCTAGGAGGAAAGCACCAGCCAGTCGAGCCCAATGGAGTATCCGGCCCGGCCGGGGATATCAGGGTGACAGGCGGTCTCAGACCGGCTCCAAGCCCAAGGAGTGTCCAGAATCGCCTGACATAAAGCGACTAACCATGACAGAAAGCAAAGATCCGTTGAGATACGTACCTCGGGTTGAGTAAGACTGAGCATTTATTACCCGTCGCGGGCGGTCCGCCTAGGGAGAAGATCTGTCAGGGACGCCTGACAGATCATTAAATGACTCAACCACCACCACACCAGGTATAAATGCACCATGAGAGCATTGATGGTAAACTCAACTACTCTCTCTCTCTCTCTAGAACAAACACATAACTACACACTTCTTTATCTAACTTAAGCATTGGAGGCTGTCCCAGGCAACCGCCCACGAACCCTTGTTTTGCAGAGATCTGGAGTGCGCCCTCCTCCCAAGAACATACGCCTCACCGCTGTCCTACAAACCGCCTAGTACTTACTAGGCACAAACAAGCACCCTAACAGAACATGCATGAGTTGTACTTCTCCCTTATTAGCTCTCTTGCTCGCATGGTAAAGGAAACCGGATCGTACCGGCCGGTTGAACCGGTAAAACCGGAAATCGGAGCCTGGCCGATACGACAAGCGGTTTGTGGAGAAGAAGTCGTCCCGGCCGGTTTGACCGGTAAAACCGGTTCAACTCAAAAAGCCGCCCGGTTTTGGTCTGACCGGGGGTCAGCTAACTGGAACGACACGGCGTGGTTTTGGGGTGAAGAGAAAAAAAACCCTCAAAAGCAAAACCCTAAATCTTCTCGCCGCTTCGTCCTCCTTCGTTTGCTGCTGTTGGCGACCTCCCACTTCATTTCGAGCGACGACCAGCCCGGCCATCCTCCCTCCTCTTCCTGACCGGCGTATTCTTCTCGAGCGGCGACCAAGGCCCGGCGATCCTCCCTCTTCTCGACCGGGGAGGCGGCGACCGGCGACCAGGGCAACGGCTGCTCCGCGCTGCTCTGCGGTCTCTCTGCTCCAGGCTGCTCCGCCTCTGTTCCGCCACCACTCCGCCGCTGCTCTGGCACGAAGAAGATAAGGGGAATCAATCAATCCTTCCCATCGCACCACCAAACCCCATCAACAAGGAATCATGACACAGAGAGTGTAAATCAAGCATACACCCATTTCTCAGATTTGGTTTCAAGACGCGTTAAGCCAAGCAAAGCAATCTACCGTCGACACAGATCTACATGCAAAGAGCAGCAGTAACACACGGGTTGATCAAGATTAAGCTGAAGATCCTTCCTTTTTTAATCATGTCAAACCACAGCAGTAATCGTCATTAATTAAGCGCAAAAAGGCCAAAAAGAAAGCTCTAATTAGAATACAAAATCAGGAAATTAATGGAAAGGGAGGAAGCGACAGAGAAGAGAACTGATCAGGGAAAAGCCTTAATTGCTTGCTTGCTGCTCTCTAAACTACTACCTACTGAGTACGTATTAATTACCGGCCAAATCATCGATTTGGATGGAGGAGAGATCAAGATTCAAGATGATGAAGATGACCCATTAGCACCACCGACATTAGAAGAGGAAGGTTTGTTTGTAAATCAATTAGGATAAATGCCATATTTGGTCACCGAAATTACTAAATTGTGTCATATTTAGTCACTAGAAAAATTTAATATCAATTTTGGTCACCCGAATTACTGAAACATGTCACATTTAGTCACTCTCTCATTAGTCTCCATCCAACTTTAGTCCACTTGAATTACTGAAACGTGTCACATTTAGTCACTCAAATTACTGAAACATGTCACATTTAGTCACTCTCCTGTTAGTTTCCGTCCAACTCCATTAATGAAGTTGAAAGGAAATTAACGGGAGAGTGACTAAATATGACTTGTTTCAGTAATTCGAGTGACCAAAATTGATATTAA